TCCTACACACACATTTGAAAATTAACAATGCAGGGAAGAGGGTGGTGACTATGTTCGGTCTGATGAATCCCAAGTTGCTTGCTAACATCTTAGAGAGGCAAATGACAGGCATTGACCAGCATCATATTGATAGATGAGGTAACATTGTTATTAGAGACTCTTATTCTAGACTGATGTTAGGTAGTGTTGCACGCTGTTGGTACTGTAGGGGAGCAGGAGATAAGCATTGAGGCATCCCTTGGATTTTCCTGTAAAGTTTGGTCTTTTCATAGAAATCAGTCCGCAAGGCTGTGAAAGGCAACTGTGAAAGTCGAGGAAGGTCTCAATTTTTGAGATACTTTACAATCTGTATACACAGTGGCAATAAAAAAGTGATTGATACATGTAAATTGCTCTACATTCTTACATATAATACCTTTTTATATATAGATATTTAAATATTTTTGTATTTAATTCCCCTTTAATTACTCTTTGCAGGATACCAGATTCTAGTTCATTACCACTTCCACTTCTACTTCCACTTACTGCAGTTCCATCGGTTATGATGTTATAGTAATCCTCAAAGTAACTGCTGGGATCTGGGTACACAGCAACATTGCTAAAAAAAAGTTCAGTAGGGCTAAAAAAAAAAAGAACAGGTTTCAGATGATCATACAAGTTTTAAACAAACCTCCAGGTTAGCCAAACATCCATCACAGTTTACAGACCCACTTCTTGATTCACATGTGACACACCATACTTGCTACAGTTGTACATGTCCAATATTGTACTATGTCATCTTTGTACTACGAGATTGCATAATTATAAAGGCAAACACTTTTAAAGTCTGCCATCTGCCAAATTAACCATCCTGTCTTTGCTGTAAATACTGTACATGTGTTTGCATCAGTAGTTTTAGTGTCAAGTTTGACCTGGTTCAGCAGCAAACATGGTGGTCTGAGCTGCTCTGGCAGACTGTTGTTGCCTGACAAGTACTAATATGAGTCAGTAAAAATGACTGACCCAGCCCAGTTACATTCTTATGTCCTTACACACTTCAAACTCCTGTTCTTTCTTATGTCCATCTCACTCCTGTACTACTTCTCAAAAACTGTCCTATTTCTTGTTTTGTGTCCTTATTCATCTTCTGCTCAACTCTGTTTCCTCTTGCTTTAGTCCTAAACCACACTCCCTGCTGCACAGATCTCATGTCTGCATTCTTCTCCTGTGAGGTCTTCAGATCAGTCCCTCATGAGTGCTGTTTGACATGATAATCTATGCATGGAGTTTGTCTACATGAACATGACATATTGTCTATTTTGTTGCAGCTTGTGAATGTTTCTGGACTTGGCTCACTCTTGTCTCACATGGTTCTGACATGCACTGCAGGCTTTATTGTGAAGATCTCTCTAGCCAGGAGACAGCCTCCTCTGGGGAGGTCAGGGCTGGAGCTAGGTCAGGTCTGGGTAGGTGGAGATTTTGGCTCATCAAGTGGCTGACGTGGAATGTTTGAGCCGGTTGCCAGGCAAAAAGGAAGGTTCTGATTTACCATTGCGTCTTTCGAGCAGCTTGTCGCAATTAGTGATGTCAGGAGGGAAAGAAACAAATATGAAGCATTTCTTCAAAGAGCAAGCATATCCTTCCCATGAGTTCATTCTTTCCTTGGGTTTCTCAAGGAAAGAAGGGCAAAAGTGCAGCCTATTTCTCTGCGGTCAAATTAAGTTTTGCAGGCCAGGGTTCTTCCTGTTCTCTGGGGCAGGGTGTCACATTTAGAGTCGACTGAATGATTGCAAAGCATAAAAACAGTGACACTGCATGAAGATGGCCATCAAAATTTAGTTTTTCTTCTGGATCCTTTGAAAACTCTGAACCTTATTTGTTTACATAACAAGATGGATAACCAGCAATGAAACTAGTGACAGGCCAGAGCTGTGCCTCAGTTCTACAGCAGTACGCCTGTTTCCTTGATGAAACAGCACGACAGCTTTGTTTAACGCACTGCTTACATTTCATTTGCCTGCAGTATTTTAGATAATATTTCACGGTGCTCTAGTTTGCGAGCCCTGGCTGTGTTGTTCATGGTTGCAGCTAGCAGTGCCAAGTTTCCCCACTCTCCTCCTGGCTGTAGGTATCCCATGCAGAGGCCATCTGTCTCTCCTCCCCTAATGGCAAGGGTGGAGTCCTCTTTAAACACATCCCCCCCTTTCTCTCCCTCCTTTTCCTACTTACTCCCAAATGCTTACTGTAAAACAAACAGAACATGGTATGGATGGAGTCTAGTTTCTTTGTATGCTTTGACAGCCCTGAAAGCTGACACACTCAGATAGACAAACTACGTACAGTAGCAGTTGGAGTGTCGTGTCAGGTAGCTGCAGTATGTGGAGCATGTTAGAGAGAAGCCTGGTCTGAGACACGTGTCTGCAGACATCAACACAATGTCACGCATGCCAAGCATGTTAGTTTACTACTAAGACGACTGATGCAGCAGGATGATTTCTATCTGTTTGCCATCTATATTCTTGTACCACTTACAGATATATATTAGTAAATATGTATCTCACTGTTGAGATTTTATCACTGCAGTATGATTTCGTTATATTGTGTCAAGCAAAACCACTGAGTTATACTAGTAAGGTGACAACAAACAGCTGTCGTGTCAGCTCAGATGACTGTGGAGTGGAGAATGCAAAACCCACACGGCTCTGACCCTGATTCTCCCCCACACCAGTACACCCAGAGGACTCTGGCAGATGCAATGCAAACACAGGGTAACACATGCAGTGCAAAGCACATTATAGCAGTGCAGGCTTTAGTTTTAGACCAGGTCGTGATTCAAAGGTGGGAAAGAGATGTAAACAGATCTCTAAATTAGAAATGAATCATGTAAATAATAAGCCAAAGTAACTTTCCCAAGTGTCTTTCCAAGTGGATGACAAATAAGGCAGCCGGAGTTAAATACTTGAGGTTAATAGGTTAAAAGCCTAAATGCAGTGTAGAGCTGTGCTTGATTAGTTTACACAGCAACACAAGAAACACAAGAGAAATATTTTGAAAATGTGGGTCAGCAGAGAAAAAAACAAGCAGGACAGCCCATGTGCTATCGCACAACATGAAACTTCACACACACAATGCAACATACATTTAAGACTCAACAGCCATTCAAACAAAATGACTGACTCTTACACACATGGTAACGCACTTATTACTTATTTTTGTGTGTGTGTGTGTGTGTGTGTGTGTGTGTGTGTGTGTGTGTGTGTGTGTGTGTGTGTGTGTGTGTGTGTGTGTGTGTGTGTGTGTGTGTGTGTGTAATAACTAAAAATTACAGGGGACGTAATGGAGCACGGGGAGCCTCAGCCTCCCTGGCTATATTCCTCACAAACCAAGATAGCATTGCTGTGGCTTACCACTCACATTCATGCCAAAGACTCAAAATACCAGCCAGTGGACCACTTTTATAAGCTTTACTCCATACACATCCGAGACTACGTACAAAGTGGAAATTTATGGCTCCCAAATATAGCTTACTCTGACTGCAACCGTGTCAAGAAAACTGAGATTTACTGTTTTGAATATTTTGAATGAAATCACCTTTTTACATTTTATCTATAAAACAAACATTTTCACAAGGTTTAATGTGGATCTACTCTACAATTCAGTCTTGACCACTGTTGTAAATCTTTGTACAGCCTCTTAAAAATGTTAAAGTATACATTTTTCTATCAATGACTCTTTTCTGTGATTATGCCTGCAGAAAAACTGGGACTATGATGAATTTTTTCCATTCAGAGCAGTATCCATGAGCTTTAATTTAGGATTTATTGAAGGTCAAGATACATTCATTCCCACTGAGCTGGTTGTTTTTGTTTTTGTTCTTTTTTTGGTTACAACCCAGTACCGTGTGTATCAACTGTGAGATGCAGATTACTGTCCATACAGCTCAGACATCATGATTTCTTTTTTTTTTGGCTCATCTTGGCTTGACTTACTTACAGAACCTCAATGAATTGTAGCATTCAAAATGGCCAATAATGTTCAAAACAAAGTTTACATGTTGCATTTGTTTAAAATAACGCATTCAAAACTGCGGTGGGCTTCAAGTCAAATTAAGGGCCTCATTAAAAGAGGGGATAAAACCATTAAATAGCTGGTTTTGTTTCATCTCCTTCCAGAGTTTTTTTTTCTTTCCTGCTTAAAATGTGCTTTGATAATTAGCAAAAGGGACAATCTGAGTGTCCTGCGGTGCGAGTGTGTTGCTTATTAAGAGAGAAACCAGAGCACTCAAAAGAAGTCTGGTGTCTGTTTCACCTTCAGGAAAAGCATGTCTGAAACAAATGATGGCTCTTAATGTCACCATGGAGGAACAAGTAATATTGATGTTGGGAGAAGAGAATGAATGCATGAGGTAGTGTACTGCAGTTTGTAGAAAGCTAATCAAGAATTTTATTTTAATGACATATGAATCAAAATTTAAGGTGGCAATAAGGAAAAACTGTACTATTGTTGGCCCATTATGCTTTCAGTTGATCTAACACCAAAACACACATGTGGCCACAGTACATGTCCACAAAGTCACAACTTTTAATTTTCATGTAGTCTCACATGTGAGTGTTGGTGTGTTGTGTCTCAGTGCATGCAGGTGCAATGTACCATGTCAGTATATGCTAATGTCCTATTTCCCAGTGTTAACAGTGATCAGTACTCCAGAAAAGCAGCAATTTTCTCTCCATTCTCTCCCTGGATTAGCATATCTCAGCGGCTGTACTTTGAATTCTAATGTTTGGTGGCATTACAGCTGTCACAATGGACAAGGAGAAACTTATTGTGACAAATTCAATCTAGATTTCAATTCACAGACAATTTTCTTCCACTGTTAGACAACGTAGAAGAAAAACTGTAATCTCTTAATCCAATCAAGTGACACTGTCATGAGAAATCCAGTCTTCCAATTTGATTATAACTGCAACAATGATGTACTCCTGTTTATCTAAATCTTTTCTTAAAACGTCTTTTTCTCTCAGCAGGTGTGAGCAGTAACCACGTGATCGTTCCTGAGAAAGTGAATGCAGTGCTGGGGAAGAACATCACACTGGGCTGCAGAATAGAGGTGGGCTCCAACCTCAGTCTCACACAGATCTCCTGGGAACGCCGTCTTTCTTCAGGCACCATTACCTTGGCAGTGTTCAACCCCAAGTATGGAACCTCATTCTCTCAAGAATATGCCCAGCGCGTCTCATTTGTGTCCCCTTCAATACAAGATGCTACCATTACCCTTAAAGAAGTTGGCTTCGCAGATATCGGGTCCTACACCTGCAAAGTGGCAACATTTCCTCTGGGCAATACACAAGCATCAACCTTCGTCAATGTATTAGGTAAAGTAGAGCTCTCTCAAGTCCGTCTTCATTCTGTAGAGTGTTTCTTCATGCTGTTTGTAAATCTCACTTTTCAAAGCACAGAATTGGTTGTGATTTCGCCCTGGAGGAAAGAACTTCTCTCTGAAGCCATCTAACCTTTTAAAATGACTACCTGGACAGAGGCCATGTATATTTAAATCCCTGCAGCAATCTGCTGCTGTGTAGAGGCTGCTGTCGTGTGGCCCCACTCCTCTCACTCACTGCAGTGTCACTTGCTGTGAAAAAGTGCTATGTCAGGTTTAAATTCACAGCAAAATATTACAACTTTTTAGAAATGTTCTTTCACTGAGTCTTAATAAGATCTGCCATAAGGACACTTCCATACTGCATGTACAGTATAAACACTACAAGGAGTCTCTCCTCATCTCTAGCAAACATGTAAACATGCAGACAGTTCAAACTGTCCCAACTTGATGCAACTTAGTTGCATGCAACAACAATTTAATTGCAGGGTGTGATAAGGAGTGACTCTCATGACATTAAGTTGCATTTAACCAAGCTGCATGAAAAAGTTTCATATGTAGCACCGGTCTTAAAATGTCAATGTGCAGCTATTTCCCAGAGAGGTTTGTTGTTAGTTCTGCCCTCTTTACCCTTTGTCACTAATTATGAAATCATACCTCAGGCTGAGTAATTGGTATTTGTAAAGCTCTCACAGACAGTAAGGAAGTAGATGACAAACTTGGCAGTCTGCGGTGTAGAAATCTTTTCTATATAAATCTTTTCTATTTCTATCTCTTTTTAATGATTCATGCTATTGTTACTGATATGGGTGTTTGTTGCTGTATGTTGAGGCTATTTGCCTTTCCTTGATAACTCAAAAAAAAAAAAAAACATTGCCACAGGATATGATATTTACCAAAAACTAGGAAATGTACAGCACAGCATCAAAAGCACACTACACCGAAATCTGATTATTTATTGCTACTTATATAAATGCAGAAAACCTAAACAATAAAATTATAATCTCATTGCCATACTTTGTTGCTCCAGTTGTCTGAGTGTACGGACATTGTAGTGTTTGTATGCCATGTATGTACACTATATTGTCTGTCCACTCGTGTGTTCATGCTTGGTCCATGCTGTATGGACACAATAACTCTCCTCTCTGAGGAACATGAACGTTGAACTTTCTCTGTGGTCAGCATATGTTTCAAACCTTAAATGGGTGGTTGGATTGTGCTCAGGCAGAGCTGAGAGTAGGAGATTGCACTGTAGGCAGTAGCTTCTTGTCTCCCTGCAGAGCCCACAGAAGACTTGAGTGATACATTAAGTGCTGCTGTGACAGCCACAGTGTCTGGGACCTCACAGAGTTCAATTACACCTTGCTTTCCTCCGTGAGCAGTTTCTCAGGCATGTTTTTTTTTTTTTTTTTGGCTCATGCAAACACATACATGCATACCCATAAACAAACATGCTTAGTTCTACTTTACATTCAGATGTAATTAGGGTGTGATTATGGTGGAAATATATGTTCTTCGCAATTTGATACGTGTCATGTGGGAATTAGTTTATCCCACAGGGTATTTTTGTTAAAAAAAGCACATCACAATTACAAGACCTAAAGTCAGCACATTCAAGTTCCCAAGGCAGCGATGAAAAGTGGCTTCTCCATCTCTGCCTTGTATTGGGTTGAATTGTACTTTTTTCACAAAACCTCTTCAGAAGGAACAATTTGGCTGCAGCCCAGCAACTGCATCTCTGCAAAACTGTGGATATTACATCAGTGTAACAGTTGATTAACATATTGATCTAATATACCGAATATTGGTTGTACAGTGTGTATTGTATTTGTTCCAGTTTAAACTCAACTCCGAGTTCTCAGTTTTGATTCGTGTTTATACTTGGAGAGCACTTGAGGTTTGTGAGAACACTTGACTTCATTCCTTTCAAATGAACTAAAGTAAAGTAATGAAAAAGCTCAAACCCATGAATAATAGACAGCAGTCACGACACACATCATAATGATTAACAGGTGCAGTGGACATTGACTTAATTTCAAAAGTCACACTCTTGATACAAACCTTTGCTTGCATTCAGTCAGTATCACTCAGCACACATTATTTGTATTGGCCTAACACTGTCTTACTCTGGTTTTCATCTCAAACATTTAAGGACCAGTTGAGCAGGAACTGTGCTACAGTACATGAGCCAGAAGTCTCCACCAGTAAGCAAGAGGAAGGAACCAGAGGAGGAAAAACTAACACATATAGGGAATGGATTTGAATGACCCTTTGTTTGAAACTGCTGACAGGTCTATGGGAAATATATTGACTAACAATTGACTTTCTTAAAAACATGCACACATATTATGTTGGTAAGATGTTGATAAGAAGTACTCCTGCATATAAATCTTCAGCTACATGAGCTCCAAGAATTTGAGCTTTATCCGCATATAAACTGCATTCTTCTTTTTGTTTTAAACATGTCTGTGCATTCATGTGGCCGGTAATGCAGCTCTTTTTTTGCTGAGTTATAAAAATGAGAAATCATACCCCACAGAGAGATGGATAAAGTTGCTTACTGATGGAAGCAAAAATCAGAAGAGTGTCATTGTTTCTCTCTTGTGAAAAATGTTTCATTTTTCCTTTCAGTCTACTTAAATGATGTTGGATGGTCCCCAGTGTCTGTGTAGAATGAGTCATGAAGCTATAATACATCCCATATCTTTTCTTGTTCTCTGAACTATCAGCCGGCGAGGGCAGCCTTAGCCAGCAGCTTACTGACAGATCATTTCATTGACCTTACCTGCTCGCCAGGTGTGGTTTCATTTGGACTTTGTTTCAAAAAGAAAAAATCTAAAACGAAAAGGTTGGCTGCTGATTTCAGAACTGCTCTAGATCATCACACCAAACGGACTACTTTAAATAGTAAAAATCCCAGATGGTAAATCTTTCTGTAAAAATATGCAGACATTTGTTGTTGGACCTCCTGCTGATGCAGGGCCATTGAACATCCAGCTAAATCCCTTCTGTATTGGGGTTCCCACTCTGACGTCGGTGTGCATGTGGATCAGTGTATGTGGGCGAGAAAGGGCCAATGCAGCCAGTTTGCCGAAGGGAAATCATTACCCTTTCCCCTAAAGCATTTGCACTCATCCAAAGTGTTCCCCTCCCTTCCTGACAGCAACTCCAAATTAACACGTCTCTGATTTAGTTATTCTGAAGCTTCAGCCAGCTCGCCTCCTAACATAGAGCAACTACTGTTTATAGTCAGAGGCCTGTGAGGAGGGGCAGAGAGAAGTGAGTGAAGTATGTGAGGTGGATGACTGAGAACAGCGTCCCCGCCCCTGCACTGGGTACAGGAGACGCCAGGTTATTTTTGGAAAAAGGGGGTGTAAGGAGTTATTTGAATTTGTTGTTGGACCTCCTGCTCCTGCTGGGTGGAGGAGGGTGGCAGATGTCTTAAAGGTGATGGCCTTGTCTTGTGGATTAGGCTGTTTGTGTGCCCCCACGTGCCGCCTTTAAAACTGTCACCATGCAGTAAGTGGAACAGCTGTTTGTGCTCTTGTAAGAGGGACAGAGATGGAGGAGGTGGAGCACTGCAAAACAGCGAAGAAGAAATGAAACAAAGAGGGAAATTCTGTAGTGATGATACACGGAAGTGTAACCTTGTGTAACCTGTGTATCCAGTTTACTTCACTACCTCCCCATTTTGACCCCCCTCCCTCAGAGTTCCTCAGCAGACTCTCTTTTGTATTTGGGCTGTCTTTTGTCCTCCTTTGTCTTGCTGAACTTTCCCAAGTGTCATTTCTGACACTTTGCAATTATTAAACAGGGCCCCATATGTTTATTTTAGGCCAGTGCAGCACAAGATAAATTGTTATACTGCTTTGTACAACAGGTAGAGTGTTGCATTATTCTGGTCACATCCCTCTTGCATGGATCTGTTTTGCTTCTCTGTTGAGAAAATCCTTGTTACGTCTAAACCTCCAGTTATTCTCAGGAAGCCAGTGTAACATGACCCCAGCTCTAAAGCACTGAGAGGCCTACATTAACTTACCTCCTCATCTTCCAATACAACACAGTCAAATATAAACACACTACAGTGTGACTGTCAGTAGCCTATGATTCTGAAATATTACGTTTTTTTTTCTCCCACAGTCACATGAATGTGTCAGACACTGCTTTGTTAGAACCATACACTTGGACCAATAGATGCTACTGCTGTGCATTGTCCTTTCTCAAGCATATTGTATGCTTGACACCCAACAATAAAGACAGCTATGTCTCCACTGAAATGCCTCCGGATGATTGAATAGCATGGTTGATAAATTTTTTATGCATATATGTGAAATGGAAGAAGTCAATCTGTGCTCTTTAGCAGTTAAGTATACTGTGGCCACTTCCTCCTGTCCATATACTATGATGGGCATTATTTATTCATATACATACACAAAAAGATCAATATTCATTTTGTAATCTTTTCTCCATTCTGTCATCTTCTCCCCTCCTCCTTCTCTTCACTCTCCTCTTCACAGTGGAGCCAAAGGTTTATGTGTCCGCCGGCCCCACAGCTCTGCTAGATGGCGGGAACGAGTCGCTGGTGGCCACCTGCATAGCAGAGCGTGGCCGTCCCGCTGCTGAGGTTTTCTGGGAGACAGAGCTTTATGGGCAAAGTGAGAAAGAAAGTCACGATGAGCCCAACAGCACCACCACCATACATGTGCGCTACATGTGGCAGCCACAGAGCTACGCCCAGGGGAAGACACTCACCTGTGTGGTGCGCCACCCGGCCCTGCAAACAGAGTTCCGCATACCCTACATACTAAATGTTCAGTGTAAGTGTTGACTTATAAGACTTCCTTCATTTCTGTGATGAAATGAAAATCTGGTGAAATTCAAGTATTTCATATTGTCAGCAAATCTCAAATCAGAAAGTAACTTGCTCCTCTCCTCAGCACTGTGAAGCCTTTAAAACTTCTTTGTTAACACATATGGAAAAGTACAATTCAAAGCCAAATTTTGACAAACTCAGACGTTTTGCGTAAAAAAAATTGTACTTTTCCCAATGTAGTAAAATGGAAGTAAGCACACCATGAAACTATAGTTGGAGTTTTTTGGACTCTGGATTCTAGGCAAAAAAGGTCTGTGTTGACTGTACAAAATAATTAAAATACAAATGAGCCACATTGTTGCACAGGGTAACATATTCCTTTAGTAAGATGAAAATGGATTCTGTAGTTTATTTTGAGTCAGTCCCACATACACCACTGTGCTACTGTAAATACTCATGAGCACATTAAATCCGCAGTCAAAAACTCAGCCAACAAAAAGAGCATATATATTCATGACGCTTTCTTAAAATGAAATGTCCGGTAGGAATGAATGGGCTTGGAGCAGAGAGCCACAGATATGCTTGGGAAGTCGGAAAGTATTGAGAAGCAGACAAAGACGGTGCTGGTTTTGGTCTTTTCATGGGGTTTATTGACAGAAAACTGCCAACAAATCCCTCAAAAACAAGTCAAAATGTACAGAGAGATACAAATCAAATCAAATTTTTGTCTCTGTGGTTTTGTGGTATAACTCCAGCTTTCACCCCTTGCACTAAATTGCTTTGAAATCCAATGCTTTGAATTAGGTTAAGTATAAGGGCTGATCAGTAAATTGTGTACAGTTGCACAGCACAGTTAAAATTTTTCGACTGACATTGAATATTATTTTCATTTCATTACCCACTGTTGTTGGTCAGAAATACAGCAAAATTAATTTGTCCCTGGAATAACCAAGTTTAATAGTAATGATCAGAATGTATAACAAAATAATGATTATTATTATAGCTCTTATTGTGCAGCTCTTACAGGTTCAGTATATCTTATTGATATTAACCCATGCTGATAGCTTGATTTATGAATAGCCTGCTCACTACCTTTCCTCCTTTGCCCATAAAAGGGCCATTTAAGAGTCATCTTAATGTTATAATCATTGATGCATACTTCCTTGGCGAGCAGTACTAAGGGTTACTCTGTGTTTGGACTGTGTGAGTGCAGGCTAATGAAGGTATTTTATGAAATATTGATCAGGCCTCAGCAGGAACACAAGTAGCAGGAGGCTGCTGGGGGCAGCGGATGGAGACGCAGAAAAACCAAGGTTAATACAGGAAGAAAGACGCTTTCCAGCTCAATAAATCATGTCAAATGCAGAGTCAAGGGATTTTAAGTGCAAAAGAAGCACAATTTCAATGTTGAACTGTGTGAAAAGGGTCAGTGGACACGATGAGCCGAGACATCTTCCTGTGTGCTGTAATGAGTTCCTCATTTGTCCTCCAGGGAAATCAAAATGAACAATTGGATATCTAAGTCAGTGTTTGCCATGTTTTATTACAGTGGCATGTGCTGGGCTTCATTTAGGCATCCTCCTGCCTTCCTTTGTTTTGTTTTTTTTTTTCTCTTACATGGTAGGCAGTAGAGTTTATTATGAGCTGCAGTACATCTACAGTCTGAGTGAGTCTGTCATTTTCTAACTTTCCACCAACCCAGGGCCATTTGTTTGTTCTCTTGGCTCACGTTCACCAGCAGGTCCTGTACCCTGCTGCAGTCCTGCACAGCCTTTGTTTTTGTCACTGCTCACTACTGTGCTTATAATGCACGCTTTGTTCTTTCTGGGAAAGCTCGTTTGTCATCAGGCTGCTGGGATCACAATGACTGATTAAGTTCTACTCTTTTACCTTTTGAAAAAAAAAATATATATATCCTGGTCACACTATTTTGAGAAATCAAGACCAACCTTTTTGTGTAGGATGTTAAAAGGTAACACAGCCTTAAGGACAACATATATTGTAAATATTTTGTTCATTGTAAATAATGCTAATTTTAAACATCATAACCTTTTGTCTCATTTTGTTTCACAGTTGCACCAATGGTATCAATAATTGGACTCAACAAAAATTGGTATGTTGGTCAAGAGAATGTGAAGTTCACCTGTAGTGCCAAAGCTAACCCACCTGCCCGTCACTTCACATGGATCAGGTCAGTGTCCTCAGAATATGTCTTGAGATTAGAACCTCAGATAAACCATTCTGGTAGATGATCATCCTATAGGTGCAGCAAGAATGTTATGATCTTAATTCAGGAATGATATCAGTATATCATCGCTACACTGTCTCTCATATTACCACCACACAGTGCTTTGTACTAACCACAATCAAAATACAAAAGCAGAGTAAGCATCAGCATTAGCTTCAGCATTTAGCCATAGAGGTTCTATGGCTAAATGCTGAAACTAACGCAGAACTCCCTTAAAATGCAGTTTCTCTACTTTTGGCTCAGAATAAACCTCACTGTATGGAAGTGAAGCAGAAAACCTCTAACTAATCACTGGAAACCTAAAGTCACATTTTTTCCAAGATCTGAATAACTCATTTTCTTTTTCTAATGCGTTTCTACACTGCAATTTTGTTTATTATTGCTTTAACTGTAAGATCTAGTATAAAGGTTTGCGGGATATCTTGGAAAACAGCCTTTATATGCTGTGAAACTCTAAACCTTTTATTCTTTGCTATTATACCAACTTGCTAAGCAATGAAACAGCACTGTTTATACCATTTGTGCCCCTTGCACTTAAGCTAAACCTATCAAATTTTGGACCTTTGGAGTCACTGGGATGTTGCTACATTCTAATTCAAGGGCTGCATCCTCTGAAGGCTTGCAATGTTGTCTCCCCCCTGAAAGTCCTTGTTTCAAGACAAAATATGTCCAAACAGTTTCTTGCAAATGTGGCAGCCTTATCCATCCCAAATTTCAGAGGGGGGCAGTCCTTGTCAACTCGTGATGAAAATGATTTTATATTTATCATTTGTCTCCAGGTTTTCAGCAGCTACTGTTAAATTACCTAGTGTGATCTGGACCACTGAAAAAGCTATTGTAGAATTAAAATATTGGAAGCCAGGTGGAAACTCCAGAGTTTGTTCCTTTTTAGCGTGGACAGGTTAAAAGTTCATCATGTATATAAAGATATTGGACTGAATTTACTAGAGATATTCAGCATGCTGTTGGCTGCAACAATACATTTTGACAGAACTTAATAAGTTGCTTAAATGACTGATAATTTTGATTTTATTGTAATCATGTTCGTTTTGTTGATCAACAGTTTAGCAACAAACAGGCAAAAGTAACATACTTGTAACTTAGAACTCGTGTTATAGCAAAGACGTCATGGCATATCAGCTATTAATTACGTTACACAGATTTTAACTGTATTCAAACAAATGTAAATTAAGCAGCGAAGAAGCTCCTGTCAGTAAATTACTTCCAGCGTAAATTTGGAGCCCGGATACTGGAGCTGTCGAATGCACTGCTGCACCCATCGGGGGAGAGCGCCTGCTATAAATAAAAGATTCCAAACAGTTCATGCATCAGAGCAACACTGGTCTATTGGCAGCTCTTTGTCATCATCTTGCTTTGAAAACAAGAAATATGGTCTCATTTGGGCTGACAGTACCAGTGAAGTCTAGACAGCCAAGCTCTTTATTTTCTTTTTTTTTCTTCCTTTTTCTATCCAGCCTTGTGTTCATGAAGAAATCTTTTCCCCTGGACTGATGGAAGTACAGTCAGCTCAAATTATCCCAGTCATGTGATCACATAATAGTTGCAACAGGCCAATTGACCCAACAGAGCAATGATGTCATTTCAAGTCATGGATAGTTTTTTTCTATCATTTCTCTTTCTTGAAAGTATGTCTCTTAAACTTACAGTGATAATGTATGAAGTTTAAGGTTTTGTATGCTGATGTACTGTACACTGATGTTTAATTCTTGCACAGGTTGGATGGATTGATGCCAGAGGGTGTTGAGATCTCAAACAATAGCTTTGCTTTCACTCGCCCGTTGGAGCGCAATGACTCTGGAGTATATCGCTGTGAAGTGATGAATGACATTGGTCTTCGCAGTCAGAATGTGAACCTCTGGGTACAAGGTACGTTTTGACCTTCTCACTCAGTTTCTTAAAATTTTAAAGTACTTTTTTTTTTCTCTAATCATCTGCTAATTTAAGTAAATCACCTTTTAATAGTTGAGAAATCTGTGCCTTTTGACATTCATCCTGCCTTTCTGATGTCAGATTACCCTCTCAGTACGATCAGCCCTCAGTTCAACACTTCTAGCAGAGCTAAGCCCCCGTATAGATGTCCCTGCCCAGATCCACTTTCACACATTCCTGGCAACAGAGGAGCACAGAGTGCAGATAAAGAGTATCAGTACCAAACATTTCCAGTGTTGTGGTTTTGGCAACATTAGATTTCTCAGATACGGAAGTGGGTGTTTACCCTTGCTGGTTCTGCTAACCATGCACCCATGTAGCCTTTTTCTTTGTTTTGTTAAAGGTCAGGTTTCACAGTGGGACATGATGAATTGTGTTCACAGATTTGCAGTACACAGAAGTATGTGTGTGTACCCCATAAAACATGTTATTCAATGGTATATTGTGCTTTTAAAGCAGTTTGTATGAAATGTGATCAAAGTGATTTCTTTTGATTCAGCACTTCATAGATTAAAACTAATAGTAAGAAAGGGGATTTCCCGAAATCATGGAAAGGGGTGTCCCTGCATTTGGATTTGTTATATTCTGTTGATTCATTGACATAAATCCTTGTCAGAAAACTCGCAGTGAACTAAACTTGTCCCGTCTGCTTCCTCTGTCTGTCCATGATCTACTACTTGAGTTCATTATTGTAAAAGTCAGGGCGTGGATCCTGAGAACTCTGCATCTCTTTTTATTTTCATTTCTCCTCTGCTCCTTTTAATCCTTTTCCAAACAAAGCAACTGCTGCTTTTGGACACGTACTCCGCTAACACACACAGTCCTTTGGTTTCTCACTGTCGAGAGGAAAGAGCTGGATAAGCCCCAAAAATTGCTGTCAGGCTCCATCTGTGTAGAGGCCTGGGTTTGGAGTCCTGCTCCAAACGAAAGCACAGCTGACATCCTGTCCAGGACAGACTTGCACTGAGCAATTATCTTGCTTCTCTTGTCAAATATTACAACTTGGGCATGCGGCCTCTCGCCTCCCTCCCCTGTGGAGATAGCCAGGTTGAGCTTGGTGATATTCTCTCCCCCCTCCATGGCTGCTTGGTGTAGCATTCACATTCCCAGTTGTCTCTGTAGCCTTGTGGTTTTTGGCTGCTGGTCTCTCAGATGATCAGCTACATGGTTACAGATGCTCATAACCTACGTGAGTTTGAAATGTCCCGCTGCAGGGTGGGATTGATGGTAACTGACGAAGGAGACGATTGCCAGTATATCAGTTCACTGACCTTGATCCATCTCCAGTATTCTCTCTTATGCTTTTACTTTACCCCTGATCCCTCGAGCTCACACACGGTGTATAATTGCAGGTAATTAGATTCTTAGTGAGTTACCAAAATTGTGGAAATCATTATAGCTCTACTGGAATTCCGGTTTTGATAACTAGTACCTAAAAACCTCCTGGAGATGCAGACCTCTATTAGTGCGAGTCATATTGCTTTGTAGTCAGGCCTTTGATGTGCCTGTGCAGAGATCGACTCGTGGTATCAGGCTGCTCTTAGCCCCAGAGGCTGGAGGTCAGAATGGAGACGCTTATCCTGACCTTGAGCTCCACACAGCTCTTTTCTCTGCAGCTCTGGCTGCTATCACAAACACCGGCTGCAGGAGGACAAATCAGATGCAGGAACCTCACATCGATCACAGTGCTTCAACGTCTCACATGACTTCCCCACAGCAGGGTTTAGAAAGAAAGGGGGTAGAGCTAATCGCACTCACTCAGATGCTCATGAGTGCATGTCCTCTGTCCTCCTATCCCTCTCTGTCTCTCTCTCTCTCTCTCTCGTGCTCACACACACCATGACATTTAGCACTTAACCTCTTTCTGCTCTTCTCATTTCCCCCTTTTTGCTCCACAGCACAGCTTTCAACAGATTCTTTAGTCTCAGGAGAGGCACGTCTCTGCCCCGACACTGCACAGTGTTATAAATTAATCTAAAAACCATTCACACTTGCTTTGTCAGTCGTTACAGAACATAAAGTGCAGTCGTTCTCCTCTTTAGTTTTAGAATTTCTCACTTCATCTGCTGTCCTTCCGCTCTGGTTTAAATCTTTTCATCACATCTTCACTCTGTAGATCCTCCCCCCACCACTGCAGCCCCCAGCACCACCGCATCCCTCCTCCACGACACATCTGGAACCGGCACTGCTGTGGACCAGCAGAGAGCCCTGTTCACTTCCCCGACCCTGGCTTCCTTACCTGACAGCAGCCTGGGTACTATAGTTGGTGGGGCAGTGGGTGGAGTACTGTTCCTGATCCTCTTGCTGATCCTGGGTGGGGCCTGTTTCATGCGCCAGCGCAGAACCTTCAGGGGCGACTACTACACCAAACAGTACCTGGGACCCTCCGACATGCAGAAGGAGTCTCAGCTGGATGTGCTGCAGCCACATGAGCTGCAGGAGGTCTATGGGGACAAGACGAGCAAAGGCAGCCAGGAGCTAAAACCCAAACTGGGTGGAGACATCATTTACCCGGACTACACCCCGGAACGCAAGGACAGGGACGACTGGGCTGACAGGGGGGATGCCCACAGGGGCCTCAAGGAGGGAAACTACTACCCTGATCACTACAACACCCAAAACATGCACCCCTGTGGGCCTCCTGTGCACAGCCCCATAGTGAACAACGGTTCCCCCTACCTCCCGGAGGACTGCTATGACAATGGTACAGACAGCGACTATGTGTCCCACATGGACGGATCTGTGATCTCGCGCAGAGAGTGGTATGTTTGAGGAAAGAAGCAAATGAAAACACAGACAAATGACTGACTGAGAATAATTTAACAACTGACAGATATAAATATCATTAAAGGTTGTGTCATTTCAGTTAAAGGATGAACAAAATTTCTCAGCTCAGTTTCACAATGAGCTCTTTGAACAGTACTGCTCTGCCTTGATTGTAACCACTTAACCTTAAGGACGTGTTTGTGGATTGTATTACACTTTTGTAGCATTTCAAGGAGCTACAAATATGCTGGATGGCCTCAGTGATATAATCTGTGTAGACTTAAGAGGCTTTGGCATACAGTGACGTTTCAACTGGTGTGAATGAGGTTTTGTATTCTGCTCGTTTGTGTTTGCACCTGTCTCTAAAACAGGTCACTGGTCAGGTGTTCAGACCCTTGTTAGTGAAGTATTTATATTCCTGACTGACTGAGCTTTGCTCCCATAAAACCTCACAACTTCTGTGGCATTTTGAAAGTGGTCACTTGTTTGCTTACAGCCTTTTCATACAGGTGATGTGTTTATCATGGCTGCAACAGTATTTAAAGCAAATTATATTGCATGATTTTTTTTTTAAAACAAAATGTATCATCAAGTTAAAGGGAAAGTCACACGATTAAAAGGGAGAATTACACAGGCATTGCACCAAGGGAAAAGAAAGATGACTGATGCTACAGCAGTACGTCACATAAAAACACAGCCCCTTGTAAACTTTAGAGAAGTTATTCAGTAGCTTTTTCTTTTTTTAAGGTTCTTTTGTAAATTACACATGAAATAGCAAGCCTGTAAACTGACAGATAGAGGGGTCACACTCTGTGGAAGTTCTTTTACTTTCAGCTTCAGTTCAGCTTAACCAAACAAACTCATGTTGTTTTGATGAATAATTCTTTGAAGGTTGGATTGCAAGCGTGATCTGATTTCATGCTGCACGTGGCGCGAGTAGTTTTCCACACAGCAGCAGGGCAGAGTAAAGTTGAGTTACCTTACTGAGGAGTTGGACGTGTGCAGCCCGTCACCTGCAACTCTTCATCTAACAGTTCACTGTGGCTGCTTGCAAAAATTAAAAATCATCTGCTGACAAACGATACTGCAGAGACAAATATTTTGTGTTTCCTGTGGCTGTTTCACAATAAGAGCCACCCTATGTTACATTAGATAAACTCTTTTAATTTGAAGCACCAGCAGACAGATGTTTGGTTTTCATAGCAGTAACTTAATGCAGCTCTGACACGGTTTAAACAGAGCAAACAGTAGCTGATGAAATTGCATTGGATGCTGCTCACATGCATGTATCGTTTTTCTGTGAATCCCTTGTGTTTAGGTAGTCGAGCAGAATCCAGTGCAGCAAAGGCAAACTCTGCCACCATCAATAAAAACTACTATAGAGAGAGATAATTGCTGAATGTAAACACATTAAATGGCGTCTGCAGAAAAAGTGTCAGCTATAAATAGTATCAAAAATAGAGTCTTGACTGACTTTATGAAAATTTTATGGATTATAACTTTAATCAAATACACTATTATCAGTATTAAAATGTCTTAATGCAGTCACTTTCTTGCCGTGAAAAAGCACAACTCTTATTACATTAGTCAGCAAACATCAAAGGAAGCCAACGGGGCCTTGGCCTCCTTCACTTAGCCATGATAACAGGCTGTATCGCGGTCTTTGCCATTTTCCCTCCTTCTTATCCTCGGGTTTCTGCCTGCAAGACTAACACCAATTGGTCATTATAGTTTTTTTATTTAAACACAGGATCAAAGCAACATGTTATAAATACCAGATGTGACTATAACAGCTGTCATCGTCTGACATTATGTGGCTCCATAAACCACGTACAGTTTCACTGCTCCCGCTCAACACTTCACAGTTGTCATTCATGAAGGTAAATAAGCAAAATACTTTTATTGAAAAAAAACTGAAAAGGAGCAAAAATAAACAGACGCTTCAGCTTTAGTTTGTATGTGTTTGAAGTATGATTATTCAGATACCTTGGAAAAATTGTGAGCATCTGACATCACTACCGATCACAGAACAGGCTATAATGTTGGGGTTTGGCTCCTCGGCAGCTCCTCTGTGGATATACAGTGATCATGGAAACTAGAAACTTAATCCATGAGAGAAAAAAATCAGTTTAAGAACCACCTAGGTTAGAGCTGTCTCTGTAATGGCTCCCCAAGGGATTTATATTTTTTTCTTTCTTTTCCTACAAACAACAAACCCAGTGACATTTAAGTTGAAACAAAAGAGTTGACATCATCTGTGATCTCATCTCTCACTGCTTGATTTGACCTTACACTTTTCCACTTAGTGCTTCTTTTTTTTTCGTTTCCTCAGGAATGATACATGGATCAAAGTGGCCTCTGCAAAGCCTCACATGAAAGGGAAAACATACCCTTTTTGGAAAGATCCCCTCTTAGTCAATCAGGGTGTTTGTTGCTAGAAGAAGGAACCATATATGTGTATCACAGTGAGATCAGGGCAGGGGGGTTGAGTATATTTTGAGGGCTCCTTCTTTCTTATTGGGGTTTTATAGATTGTGGGTGCACATTTTTTCTCTCTCTTTTTTTTTTTTTTTAACCCTTCTCCACCCATGTCAGGGCTTTGGTCAAACGTTTAGATGTCTGAGAATAAACTACTTTAATCTCTTCAGCTCGCTCTCACTCTCATCGCCGCACACACGCACTCGGCCACCGCACATCTGCCACTGCTGCCCACGTTCAAAGAGCAGTCCTCACCTCAAACCCTCAGCTTTTTAATTAAATTTAATTTTTCTTCTCATCGCACTTGGCACTGAAAGTGCTTGAACTCGAGGAGACACTAAATAGCACATCCATGTCTGCATGCACACTTCTTTTTTCTTTTTTTTTTCTTTTTTTTTTTTTTTTGAACGGCTGATTCAGAGCTGTCATCTTGTTTCTTATTTGGTAAAGTCGCTCCAAGCAAACTGCTGTCTCTGATCTTCACATCAGTTTCTGCCTCATCTCTAAAGACTGTTTGACAAAAGCAAAATGAGCTGAAGTGATGAATGTTTTTTTTTGTATCCTTTTGGTTCAGTCAACTGGTTGCATGTAAATTAAGTTATTCGCCTCCTACTACGCTCATTATTTCTCATCACTAATGTTTATATACATGTACATAATGCTAATAAGTTAGTGTAGGATTAGCTGTTCTCTCAGTTTGATTTATATGTTCATGTACAGTTTGTTTTGGACTCCCCTACTGAATATTTGGTGCCTTAGAAGGGCTGAGCAATGCACAGAAACTTTAAAAAAAATGACAAAGATAATATCATTAAAGAGGAGGGCTGACTGGTCCTTTAATATGTCTTCCATCTTGATATTTAAGATTTGCTGTTATTAAAACATCAGAATAGACAAAAGGTTGATTGTCATGCCTTATACACTTTGAAAGGACACATGTAACAAGTTGGTTACTGAGAAAATTGTAATAAGTATAATTTCACTGGGAATTGAGGCAAGCCAGATTCATAGAAAATATTATTGTCCTGTAAATATGCTGGCTGTTTTTTTTATTATTATTGAAAACAAATCTTATTTTTTGTATGAGGTCTGTAATTTTCACAGAGTATTAGTTTATCGTACGAGCGTCCGAGGAACTCTTTCCTCGTGGTAACGTAGAGGGCGATCCTGTTTTCACTGCATTTTTCTATGTGTTCTTGAGAGTTTCTGACCAATTATTTTGTATGTTGTATTTGAATGATTGATGTCTCACAGGAATCAGAGATGAAAGTGCGGTAGATTGTATTTTGTTCTTTTGTTTGCAATAAAAGACCACCATTATTGCACTCAAATGTGTCCTGGGATTGTGCTTTCAGAGTGGAGGGTTTTTTAATTTAGAAGTTCTTTCACTTGCATCAGTGTTTAAAGGAAATAAATGCTGTGTCAATATGGTTTTCTAATTACCCATATTAATCTACAGTTTACTGAGTACATAAAGGGAATGGCAAAAATACAAACACAGCTTCAATGTTAGATTATTAGTTTGGTATTGAAGAAACTCTTTCATGTTCCTCTTTGCTGTTGCATGTTTCTCTTTATTTTTAAGACATTTCCTCTTACTACACAGTTTCAGTTTCAGTAATTGCAAAAAATATTTAATGTCACAATGGAGATTTAGACCTCAATCTTGACCTTGGACACAGTAGTTTTAGCTGTTGTGGAGCTTTTTAGCATATAATATGGTCTTCCTCAGCAGATGGAGCTGTCATGGCTTTAAATTGATATTGTATTGTCACACAGTCTTCCTCAGATCTGCTGAGGATGTCTGTGACTGCCCCCTCAACTGAAAGCTTCAGAGCAGCTACTCAATGGAGTCTTTGGGGATTGTTTTGTATTCTGCTGTTTCCAAGGACATGAATGAACTTTCAGTTTCAGTGCTGACAAAAAATGCTGGCAAACCGAGGAAGATCATGTGACACAATCAAAAGTTCCAGAATGGCTACTAATGCACCCTGAGGTGAGATTATTGGGGACAAATGAATTATTTTACAGTCAGGACTGCAATGGCAGCTATGCATGTGATGAGTTCAGTGCTGAAACAGTTAATCGATAATTGATCAGCTGTCCACTTACTAGTTTTCTTCTAGAGCTTTCAGCCACCACATCTGTGACCAGTGATAACAGCTGTTATTATCTGACCAAACTTTCATACTTGGTGAATCTATGACAACTGAGCACAAGGCCCCAGGATGTGGTTTAAAGTTCCTGGGGAAAAAAAAAACATGTAAGTTGATTTCGAGTGAAGATTTTTTAGTAATTTTAAAATCAGCGGTTGAGATACAGGCAGGAAACATATGGCAGAGAGAGTCGTCTGACAGGAAACCAAGGTCTGGTTGCAGTTGAACGGGGGATGTTGTTGTTACATGGTGCAACAACATGGTGGAACTGATTTTAAATTATATAGATGAACGTTGCGCTGAACTGCCGTCTTCATACACCAACATGATACACTTTTTGAATTCATCTCACTTTCTCTATTTGACCTTTAATATTGAATTGTGGCATTCTCTGCACAGATACATATTTGTACTGTGGGATACCTTTAATGTATGTAGCATGTTTTCTTTTGTGACTTTCACCTGATATTTTTCTGGTTTGTTCTGGTTGATTTCTTGATTATGTGGACTTGTGTTTGTTCTCAGGTCTTCCTTACATTGGCCTCTAAAGGAAGCTAATTACCCTGATTTGGAGCACCTGTCTCAGCCAGGTGATGACTCTATTTCATCCCATGTTGATCTTTATTAGTTCAAATAAATACGTGTTATGAGTTTGAGGTTCTCATATTCTGTTTTTAGTGTCAGTTTTTTTAATTACCAAGATGAAATTTGAGTTAAGGACTTTGTTAGACAACTATTTCCAAGGTCAAAGAGGACCCTTGAAGCTCACATCCATCAGGTCATCAAGAGGTATGTTGATTATTGATAAATCATTTTTCAGCTGCCTTCA